ATAGTTGAGTTCAATGTAGTATATCTCTATGGCTAGTACTGCCTTATGGGTAGTAGTACTGCCCAGCAGCTTCAATCGAATCTGCTTGTGAACTCATAAAGAGGAACAAGGAAGTTTCATTGCAAAAGGCTCTGAAGTTTCAAAAATTGTCCAGGTGTTATTCAAAATTTTGCAAATTTTTGCAGGATCTATTTCGCCAAGAATTTCGGGTTCGTTTGGTTTTTTAGAGTATTCTGTAAGAAAACCTTTCGGTACCTCTCTCTGATTTCACATTCACTTCGATAAGCTTTTGAAATTAGGGGCCGGACCATCACCGGGAAGTTCCATGAGTTTTGAGGAAGGGGGTTCTTCAATGGAAAGCCTGTTTGGCTGCAACGCTACTTCGCTTTACTAGGTCATCTTTGAATTACAAGTCCCACCTTGGTAGGACCTGTAGACTCTTCAAGGTCAAATGAATCTCATGCTATTGCGTTGCGTCGCAGAAATTTACAGGTTTAACAGGAGGCAACCAGCAAAATGCCCCCCCTCTCATGCCGAACTGCGCTGAAGAATTGCTTTCATCTTCGAGATTTCCACTACTTATCACGCTCTATGGTGCGATCCATGTTCGATTGTGAACGCTCGGTGAGGGCCTCACCCAAAACCTCTCGACGACCTCGTCCTATCACGAAATTCTCACGCTCGCCTGCGATCCTTGAAATTTTCAGTCAAATAGAGCGAAACAGAAGGAACTGCTATTAACGCTTGCGTCATCTGTTATCTCCACCATCACATGATCTTAAAATACTTTCCATGAGCTGAAAATAGAACTGTGGGCATGACGCTATTGTTTGCACTTGTAATGGCGCCCTGATAACCTCTTTATGAGGCTTTTCAACCATAAAGCGACATGACGCATCCTTGACGCTTTTTTGCGTCTATCGGCTTTGCCGAGTGTCTATCGGAAGGGTCATAAACAGTCCAGTGTGTCTAGCCTGAGGGTCGGACTCTGCACGACCTTTTCGACTTCAAGGTGGTGAGTCTCTATGAGGGCACGCTGGGCATTCCCGGCCGGGGGAGGGGCCATACTTGCTCAATAAATGGATAAGATAAAATAAAATGACAATTGTAAGTCTTGAGAATTTCGTAGTGGAGGGTCGTATTTTACAAAATTCTCCCAACGGCAGCACTTGCCTAGGTGCTATGAGGAACCTAACGCCCATTTTCGTCCATATTCTGCTTCTCGCTTATGCGGACTGATCCAGTCAAAAGGAGTGAAGCATGGGTTGAATGCAACCGTTGTTCCCTAGCTGGGTGGTCTTTCGTGTGCTTCTTTCCCTATGTGATGAGCTCGAAAATGTTTTTATGCACTTTTTACTTACGAAATAGCTCGTCAGACAAGCCCGTCAGACAGAACTTTTTACTGACCTCCAAGGGTTCGACGAAGTCGCCATTGCCAGGATGGCCCAAACCCTATCCAATATTTACGAATATTACGAGTATCTCCATAGCAGCAGTACCTCCTTCTCGATGGCTTTTCTGATAGGACTTTAAAAATCGACTGGCAATCAGGATCAGGGAACTGGACTTAGCCAGCTCACTGCTCCACAGCTGAAACGGCACTGCCCAATAGCCTTTAGGTTGCACGTGAGACTTCCAGGCGCCACCCTCATCTGAAGGTTATAACCCCTAAAAGGTTTATAATCCCTAAAAAGCACGTTCGGCTTCTGATCGGTGACGCTACTAAGTATGAGGGGGACGGGAAAGAGGTTGCAGGGGGCAAGTTGAAGGCACTCCTTGCGCGAACTGAAGTTACTGAAGTTTCTGCTCAAGCTTGAAGGGGATCGAGCTCCAAGGTGGGTGAAATTTCTCGTGCGGTAATCCATTCGGGTGCCGTTGGTCCCACAAGGAGTATCGCACAAAGTTGTCGACTGCGCTTGACGATCTATAGAGTAGTCCTTCAATCCAGACCTGCGCTAGGGCAGCTAAAGGCAAAAAAAAACTAGTGGAAACCTCAAGCTGTATGGAAGGTTCTACCTGACAAACTCTTTTTTTTCAAAAAAATCGCCAGTAGCCAAGGTTCTTCCGTGAGAGGAATTGAAGGCAGTTGCACCTCACAGAACTCTCGTATAGCGTTTTGCTCTGCATCACTGCTACACTTTACTCTCATCCCCAAGCTACATACCCCGGCACTCCCTCGCAGTGCTCAGCTTGTTTCCCATTGATTTTTCTCATTTTTGCCTCAGGCGCTCGGCGCCACCCGTTGCGTTATTGGTTTTTAGTGTGAGATGTCGTGAAATGTCATTTATCAAAAGACCAAATTTTTTGACATTTACACCAAAAACTCGGAGATTTCTCTTGGAATTTGGTAGTCTCTGCCATAGTTTTTATTTTGTCCCTGCAAGCGTCATCACGCATGCTTAAAAAATTCGCCGCCAAAATCACTCAGCTCGAGGATCACTTCGCTCATTTATTTGTGTAGTATCTCTTGTGATACCGTAATCCTTTACGTAGGCCATCCGCTTACAGCCGTTTTCCGTCACTGTTTACACGGTTTATTTGTTGACACACTACCTCGTCGAGCCTGTCGCGGTCGCGCATCATTCCAGGCGTTTCTTGAGCCTTTTGTTCCACCTAGGTTTCATTCAAACATTAGGGCTAATCATCTATATATCTGCCCCCCCCCTCACTCTTGAATATCTGCTAATTTTCGAATTTTTTATTATTTTAGTGCGTCGATTCGAAACCCCCCCCCTTCCAAATGAAACTTGTTTTTTTGCTGTTGTGAAAATGAAATAAGAAATTTCGTCATGAGATCGTCCTATCAGTTTAACATATACTTAACAGCTGACTCAACACATGGGAGAGACCTGAGTGGAGCACTAGCAAGAAGTGCAGCTCAACTGCAAGCCCCATGGATTCTGTCCCTCTCAGTCAGCTCCAAGCTTCTGAGCACCTGAGACTGATAGACTTAGAGCCTAATTGTGGTTTAGTGCTTTGCCGCAGATTTGGTGGATTTACACATGGGAGAAGGCGGTGTTCCAGTGGCAAAGCTATGCTTACCACGCGCTTGGCCTAGATCAAATCCCGGATCGGTTTCCACCCAGGCCAACCTGGCCTTCCACTCTCCGGGTCTGTAAATCGGTACCAGATTCGTCTGAGCGGATCAGAACACTGACTTGTACATCTGCTGTCCCCTCGCTAGTTATTCGCATCGCATCCAATGAGCACGTAAGTTCATTGTATAGCCCACATCGCATTCAGTAAGCAGCTACAATTCTGAACAGAAGTGGAATGCGTGCCGCGTCCCAAAAAGGATCAATCAACGATGACTTTAGGTTTTGTCTATCTTTTTACATCTGGAGGTGAAGCCGCTGTGTTGAAGACTGGTTGACCCCACAAGGTTTTCTACAAGGGAAATGAGCGCACGATTGTCCCGGTAGTCATTTGTCAGATGCAGATTCAGTTTTGCATTTTATTCGCGCTGCACATTAAGCATAGAAGATGAATTTGCCGTTGTTGACCAGTCCCATTATTAAAATCAGGGTACAGGGTATACAATAACTATGCATCCCTCGGGCGTAAGAATGCATATAGTGCAGAATGCATATAGTGCATATAAAAAAATTAATACGACCCCCTACGACCCCCCTTTCCACAGGAAAAAAGTCAACTATCAAATAAAACTTTGTCTTATTCGAACCCCTCCCTCCCAGAGCAGGAGTACGACCCCCCATCGGTTTGACACAAACGATGCAGTCCCATTATTAAAATACCGCACGCCTTCTATTTCATTCGAAATATGCAGTATCGCCCAAACGCTGATTTGCGGGGCCAGCTGATGTGCAAGTCATCGCACTTATCCCCGGAGACGAATCTGGTGCCGGTCCACCCCTGAGTAGAAGGCTACTTGTCTTGGGCGCCATCCAAGCCTTCAACCGTCCGGGAACGGTGAGATGGCATCAGACCGAATTTTAGAGCTCATGAGGAAATTTCTGGCTAGATCATACGCGTGGGTGACTGTTTCCCACTGCACTGCCTCCGTGCAGTGTCCTGTACATTCTGCTTATCATTTGCACAATGGCCCACAATTCAGATGCAAGAAAATAAATAAATAAACAGGCAAGCAGCCCTCGATTCGTCGATGAGAAGCGGGTCCCGCGCCTTCTGAGATGTGATCGTCACAGAGCAATCCATATTGTACCTCTTCCAGGACCGCTTAGGTTTGACGAATTAAATGCTGTTACTGACTAGTAATCCGAGTTAATCTGTTGAAGGAATCCATACGTGGCACAGACCCCTCCTACTGGGTCGTGCCACGGTATGACAGGGCACAGACAGGCCTAGGCCATGAAAACTGCTAGAGGTTCTTAGCGACTTAGTGAAGTAGGTGCAGGTTTCGGAGGAGGCATGGGACATGACATCAGGGGGACGGGGGTGCTACTGCTGTTGAAGTACCTGATCATATGTAGCCCAGCTCATCTTTTCACCCACGATTTTCGGTTTGTTCAACTGCTATCAGCCTTATTTATGGGGATACTGACTTGATGAATGTCGCTTTCGGGGGAACATTCAAACGGTATTAGAGGATGAACCAGAGTTGTATGCGTGGCGCACTCATCATGGAAACTCGTTCTTCTGCTAATATGTCCTTCTGCAGATGGTACGAGGATGCTTCTGTGACTGCTTTGGTCCAATGGTTCGAGCACGAGCTGCAAGTATCGACAAGCCTCTCGACCCTGAAGATGTGAAGAAATGTCTACAGAAGTATCGCGCCTACGAGGCACGGCAGGAGATGTTGGTAAGCGCTTCAAATGGCAACTATTTAGAATTTATGAATTTTTTAGCTTCAGAAAAACGTTTTTTTAAATAATATCATCAATCTTGCAGGTGTCTGAGCAGCAACATCCATTGATACCAACCATCAGCAGTTCGTGTGCTGCTCCTTACGACAATACCATATTGCCGACTGCTCCTCCCTTAGTACGTTCATTGGGATTTTATTCACTCTCTAGCATAGTTGGGCTAAGAGGGGGGCATTTTGCACATTGACTGCTTGACTAGTTGCGGTTCACAAGTCTCTCTGAGAGACCTGTGAAATAGAGCAAGCTCGTCGGGTCACTATGATGAAACCTATCAACTCTTGTATGCTCATGAAGTAGCTCTCTAGATAGGCCGGCACGTCGACGGGAAGTAGCAAAAGTGCTAAAAGCTCCCTCCGTACAGTGCATTTTCTTTTAACAAATGTGCATTTCAATCTTCTTCTGTGGAGTTATTAGTTAGTTAGCGGACCACCCGCGAGTCAAGTCCCAAGCTGGTGAGAGGGCCATTTGCTCCTACACCACTTCCTTCCCAAAATGGGAGTATCCCGCTAATATTAAACAAAGTGCGCAGCAATGCCCTCACGTCATATGAACTGATGGGACGACCAGTGGCCAAACTGGGGACTACTTGGTATTGGGGTATCAATCCAGGATGGTTATGATTTTAATAAAACCCTCCCTGTATGGTAAACCGAGTAGTTAGGTTGCAATCACTCTACGACGTACTCGCCTTGACCCAGTAGAAGGCCTTTTGAGGTTATTCTTTCTTCAGGTACTCCGCAAATCCTTTATTTCATACTTATGCAGTCGAGGCTAAGAGGGGGGGGGGCAGGTCAGGAGATCCGAGTTGCTGCTTCATGGCGCTCGAGGCGTTTCGCAGTTAATTGTTTCGGATCACTGCAGCCTTTTCGCGTCCTATCACTAGATCCTGGTGGAAATGTCATGCGCTTGATAACTGTTGCAGCGCGGCGATTCGTACAATCGCTAATAGGATCTCTAGACCAGCACCTGGCGCTGTTCTTGGAGCTTTTGGCGACGGGTGGGGGGGGGAGCTTCGTAGGCCTGTGAAACCAGTCATGAAGGGATACCAGTCGAAGTGGGTAGAAACTACTTCTCAACTACTGTGAAAAAAATACCTGCTAACTCTGGTAAAATAATGAACACTACAAGGGAAAGCAGGGGGAGTGCAAAATAACCCCACGTTGCCAAACTGCGTCATTTTTCCATAGAATTTTTTTCCTTTTTTCTTGTTCCATGTTTTCTTCTTGTTATCGTTGGGCTTTTCTGTCCCCTCCAAGTCTTTCAGTTCTATAAGTATTTTCTGATATGCTTGGCTAAGACCAAGAAATAAATTCAATCTGAAAAAATGAAGAGTTTTCAGAATCTCTCCTACCGGCCACCATCTCCACCACCGTCGTATAGTTCAGTGGCGGGTAACGGAGATCACTCTCCATCTACAGGACATTCACGTCTGTAATACTCTTTTTGTAAGCTATATATATTGTTTCGACGATTTTTCTGGTTTTCTGATTTCTATTTTGTTGTTTTTCTCTCTATTCAACAAAAATCTCATGCCTACCTTCCGTTTGTGTTCATTTCTTATGTGCCTATGATCATTATAGTGTAACATTTCGGTGAGTTCGCCATACGATGAACTCGGTGACTAGAGATTATCCTTCAAGAGCAAGGTCAAAGTGTAGTTTCTTCATGATTTCACCCTCTTTCACAATTCAGTCGGCTTCTGATTGATGCGCGTGCTATTGTATGGTTATCGATTTTGCGCTAACATAATCGATATGCATGCATGCGCTGCATAATTGGTCTAAATTATGCGGTAACCAATGCCCGATGCACCCTCTTTCTGGGCTATAGGGCGCATGTACAGTCTTGTTCGCCGGGGATTATGGGTCGTGTAGGGAGAAGGGGTTTGGTCGAGCCCCAACCCATTTCTCTTCTTTTTTGTCCTTCGAGAAGCGTCAAAACTATTTCGTATATTCCGTATCAGACGTTTTCCACCAACTGTTATCGCTTACCGGCTTCAACAACTGATGGAAAACGAGGTGGCGGCGCGCCCGCTCACGTCTCACCGACACGCCCATCATTTGCAGTGAACGATACTTTACGCAACCGCGTCAACGCGCGCGAGAAGTTCTGAGCTCAGCCTCTGCTTTTCAAGTTCTTTTGCGAGTTTTGATCCTCTAGCTGCTTTTAAACAGATTTAATTCAGAATAGATCACTAACAGATACACCCCATACCCTCAGGATAGGAGGGGCGTGTCGCACTACATTTCGACATAATGCAAGATGCGTTTCCGTGGAATATTGCCGGTCGAGCCAAATGCAAGCCTTTCTCGGTCTGGACAACCACAATTCTTTCAAAACTCCTCATTCACCCAGTATGCTACATAAAGCGGCGCCGCCGCGCGTTCAAATGGAGTACGTAACCACGCCCTCCCCTCGTCGGGATATAGAGTATAGGAACAAACAAAATAAGCAACTGGAACAAAAGAAACGTCCGAGGCTAAGGTGAGCCCTATAGGCAGATGTGGCTCATAGCCCAAGAAAATAGAGTGATTCTCATGGAAAACAAAACTTTGACCTGATATTCATTTACTGTGAGAAAACTCTCTGAAATATTTCGAATTTCAGATCAGTTGTCGATTAGAATGCATCTAGAGAGTTATACGGTAGTTTATCGATTTTGTAGCTTTCTGATTCTGCACTTTTATCTAGTCCTAAAACGATTGAACTCATCTCAACTCCATGTATTCATCATGACCGTTCTTGATCTTCTGCATCGCCTCAGCTGAGTGAATCTAGTCAAGTGTACATACATGATTTCGTCATTTTTGTGCAATATTTTCCATTATTGCTATGATTATTATGTTTCTTGTATGTTTGTTAACTGCAAATAAATCACTTCATGCGATAAAACGATGGGCTCAGTTCATCACTGGTGGGAAGGGCTACGACCGCCTTCCTAATAAGAGAACAGTCCAAGCTGTTTTATGAGCGGAGTCAGACCTTCCATTGCGCCTCCCTCGACGGTGCGTCGCTCCTTTCACCGTCTTTGGAAGGAGGGGCACAATTGTGGATTATGACCCGCCCTTATGAATGAGGACGGACCCTTCTATCTAGGACTGGATTGCTGGTCGCCTGGACAACTCCATGGACAAGAGCCAGAAAACGGCTGGGAGGTTCACATAGCCGGATGCTGATGTGTTAGCAGGCGCTGGGAATTGATGGTCCGGGAAGAATGGCAAAAATTGAGTTAAATAGTGTCATTTATCAAAAGAAGTTGCTAGGTTATAGTAAGTACCGGAAAATGAGGCTTTAGCAAGAAGAAAGTCTGACCTAGTAGTTAGCCGAGAATTTCGGGGATAAGCTTGCTACCAGGCCTTGAAAGTTTGAAGTATCTTTCATGAACGGCTTCTTGGATCGAGCGCCAAACATGATATTTTTGTCTCGTACTAACCATCTCAAGCTTTCTTCGAATAAAACAACCCTAATGAAGCCATTGTTAGGCGAAAAGCCTCTTCGAATGCCACCTCCCCCAGTTCAAAAGTTCAAAATGAGTGCTATATATTCGTGGTGAAGTCCTTTCACTGTATTTCTTCCTCTTGGCGCAGTTTGTCGACGGAGGGGGGGGGGGGGGCATTTTGCTTTCCATAGATGTGTCGACCCATCTAGGCAGCCGTTTCTCGAGTTGACACGTTTTAGGATAGTGGCTAGACGATCTTACTTCAGCTTCACAAGAGTTCACAAGTTTTACCAGAGTGAGATTTGTAAACCGGAACCAGGGAAGCAATGATAATACAAAATGCCCCCCGTCGACAAACAGCGCCCTTCCGCTTTTCTAATTCATTCAAGCGTGTTCAATCGTGTTCATTTAACATCTGACTGATAGGGAAGGATCTTATCACAAAGTAAACCAACTTCAGCTAAACACAGTAAGAAATGGAATCGGGTAAATCATATCGCTCTTACTTAATAACAAGTAAGCCTCAATTGATGCTTCACGTACACATATGAAGGAGGTGCTACTGCTACTCCTCATCGCTTCCTTTGAGTACATACTGCACGATTCTTCCAACAACCTTCTAGCCCAAGCGGAAAACGCCTCAGGTAGGTAATGTTACCAGAAACCACCAGCTTCTCGTGTGTTATACAGGAAGGTTTGTTCCATTCTAAATGTACAGTAAATCGTTCTGAATCGCTTAACGACAAGGTTCTTGTTCAAGTCAGTCAGGAATGAGCATGACGTGGGAAGAAGATGTTTCATCTCACCCGCTCCAGATACGATCCCCCAATCTGGCGGCAGGTTGATACTTCAAGAAAGAATTTGGGAGTGGGTGGGTCTACGGACCGCTTGAAGCCAATTCCTTTATACGCGTCGAATTTGTGGGTTTTTCTGCTGTCTCTCTCTCTCGCCCGCGGGCACTCCATGGTCATTGTGACTTCGCACATTCCAGCTTTTCACGTATGATAAGTGGCTCACCCACCCCGGAGTCCCCTCCCCTTGAAAAGCTCGTTTCCTGGCTCGCCATAGTTTCTTGAACGTCTCGATGCCTTGGCAGGCGCTGTCCTCTATCTGTCTGCCTATCTTGGTTTCGCAACAGGACCATGCACAAAAGTTCAAGATGTCACGCAACCGGAGGGGGTGATGTGCCCAGCATTTGCGACAGGACCTAATCATTCGACATTCGACATGGCAGGTCTGCTTCGCGTGGACTAAACACTGCCGCGATGCCGCTACTCGGAAGTAATTTTCCACACCCGCCGTCCCCTACAAGCGACTTAGTATGTGACCCATTTTCGGCAGCTATAGTGTACGATCACTCGTCTGTGCTTTCTCGGTGTACTCTACTTTGAGCGTTCCCCCCCTCCCCACCTCAGATGCTTCATGTCTTGAGAGATTCGTAGAGCCTGCTGTACACCACCATCGATAAGGTATGCAGCTTGGTGATGGTAGAAATAATGTATAGTGTAGTTCACTGCGGACGGTTGGGCGTGTCAGGCGGATGAGTTTGGCGCGGTGCCAAACCCGTTCTCCACCAGTTGTTAAAGCGAGCAAATGATATGACTGTATCATATCGTTCGTATTACTCGTTTTCTACCACTTTTTGTCGCATGCGCGCTTCAACAAGAAGGCAGAGAACGGCTTTGACGGGTGACACACTCATACTGCCTGACACGCCCAACCGTCCGCAGCGAACTAGAGTGTACAAGCAGAGCTCCACATTCACAGCCCCTTGAGATTGCAGGATTGAAGAAACCAGGACAAAATAAAAGCAAAGAAAAAAACAGTACATCGTTAGTAGATATTTCCGTCATCATCAGAGATGCAGTCTGTTACTGTAAGTTTAGTTGCCGACATACTGGCCTAATGCAGTTTAGGAGCAAACTCCGCCCTCACTTCCACAGGTCCTGGTCAATGCCCTGTGTTGGGAGCATCCGCAGCTGCGGGACGTGCCCTCTTTCTCCTGCAAATGTGCATGGGAACGGGGCTGTAGGGTTGTGCTACCCGAGGGCCGTCGCCATACTCCACCCGGCCTCCTTAAGGTGCAGCATTTCGTCGATGCTAAGGTCCGGCGTGTGAGGTAAACACGCACTCGAGGGTAGAGAACAGCCAAAGCTGAGAGGAGTGCAGGACCACAAGCCTGTGCCGTTAGGCTTATGAAAGCGTGTGCTAGGCGCGCTGCGCAGCGGCGGGGGGGGGAGTAGTTAAGCGGCACAGGCTCTCCCAGCTACCTTCCATACACTTCATTGGTTTGCACTTTTACACAGAGAAAGTTGCACACTGCTGCGACGGTTTGGCTAAATCCCCCACACACACGGCCAGGACCAATTCCACTGCTGAAGGAGGGGGAGGGAGGGCGTACAGTTTACCTTTAGGTATTTCATCACCCTTTCCACTCAAAAGTTAATCTGAAATTCGTTTCAGCAGCGAAAACAGAATCGCCGTTCACTATTTATCTATTGGCATTAGACTACAATGGCCAATTTCTTTCAGCGTTTTCGATTCTTGCAAAAAATTTCTACTATGATAATCGCACGTATACTCGTAGATATAAGGTGATATATTCATGAATGGGGGACCCTGAGTAGTGTAGTGACAAGTGGCGCGCTTACCACTCGCGTGCCCTGGGTTCAAATCCCGATTTCCGCCCAGGCCAACCAAGCTCTCTACTCCCGGGGGCTGTCGCGAATTCGTAAACCACGATTCGTCTTGGAGGATAAGAACACTGACTTGTACACTCCTTACCATTGTTGGGGCGACTGAGCCGCGCTGCACTTTGAAACGACAGCGGCTGCGGCTTGGTGCTGTTTGCAGCCAGTACGGGACAATAGTCAAATGCGCTCTTGTTCCATGCCCCATATGTGCGCTTGCTATGGTGACTGACGCCCTTTCGGTGACAGTTGCCGCGGCAAATCAGCTGATTTCGATAGAATTCAGCTGCGAATTTCTACTTTCTG